AACTCTTCCAAGCGAATAAATTTTTGCGCGATAAAAAATTTTAAAATATTTACCCTGACAATACACATTTATTTTAAATAATTTCAGTTACGTTTCTTGCTTTTAACCTGCTGACTGCCGGGCTTGAAATAATTAATTTTTCATTAGGCCAAGATTTCACACATTATTTTTTTAGGCCATTATAGAAAAAGTTGATTATTGATTTCTTGAGAGTATTAAGACTTATGGGAATAAGCCACAATTAAAGTTTAAATATAATTTAGAAAATAAAATTTAGATACGGCAACATCGAAAAAATATACGAGCATATAAAGGCGAGTATAACACGAGCAGCATTCGAAGCCCTTGGAGAAAAAGAACATATAACAAATAATCAGCACTATTATGAAATAAATGAACTAACAAAATGAATAATTGAAGAAAAAAAAACAACTATACAGAAAATGACTGACTACAAACAACGATGAATTTTATAAAGAAGATAGAGAAGTGAAAAAACCAATAACACAACAAAATGATAAAGAATGGAAAAGAACCTGCTTATATATTGAAACATACATAGGAGGTACAAGAACTTCGGAGTCATGAAAACTACTGAGAGGATTGAAACAAAACTCAAAAGACAAAAAATTTAATTGGAAAATATACAGGACAAAGAATTTAAGGAGTATTATAAGAAACTGTTAACAGAACAAAGACTACAATTTATTGGAAAAGAAAACGGGCGAAGACGAAGCAGATCCTCATAACAAGAAATAAAAATAACAGATAGGGAATTGATAACTACCATAAAAGCAATCTAAAATAAGAAAGCACCGGGAGCTGAAGGCATCTCATCTGAGCTTATAAAAAACGGATCAAAAAGTTACACTGAATGATACAATGGACATTTCAGAAAGCCATAAATGAAGAACAGCTCCCAAAAGAATGGACGGAGGCATATATGACATCTATATTTATGAAAGAAGATAGAAAACGATGCGAAAACTACAGAGGAGTAAGCGTAATATCATTAAGAGGAAGATTATATGGGAAGATACTGCGAGAAAAGATAGACCAAGCGACGAAAGGCAAAATCCGGGAGGATCAGGCAGGCTTCATCGGCAGGAAGATCATGCATAGACCACATAAACACAGTGAAACAACTGTTGGAAAAGAAAAAAGCAATAAATAGAGATATGCATTTGGCATTTGTGGATCTGAGAAAGGCGTATAACTCTGTACCAGGGTCATAAACAATGGGAGCCAATTGAGAGGCAAAGGCAATACAGACGAAACTCATAGAAGCTACAAAAGCTCTGTATAAAGAAAATAAAGTGTCCATTAAAGTGGAAACAAGAATCACAGAAATAAAAAAAATCACATATCTGCTTAACTAAGCAAAACTCCTTAGCGAATTGGTTTCTAGTACTCGCTCAGAGTAATCGGAATAAAAAGGAAAAGACAGCTAAGATTTGATTTCACGTATAGTGCCTCTGTATATCCGCTTATACGTATTTCGGCATAATAGGTCGTGGAATGCAAATTTTAGATTCCCCATGTCTCTAATAACATCCTTATCAACGTCTGTTTTGCTTTGAAATTCTTAGAAGGCACAGATTAAAACAAAAATCTGAATTGGGTTTCGAAAATTAGTTTACGGATTTATTATCAGATGTCGCTATTTGTGTCAATTCGAAGTCATGTTAGAGTTGCTTTCTAAAACAGAAAAGATTTATTTTTACGTTCAGAGGGACTATGAATTGCCGTTTTGAAGAGGCCTAGTAGGCCGAAATACATATAAGCGGCTACATAGACGCACTATGCGAGAAATCAAATCCTAACTGTCTCTTCCTTTTTAAAACCTAATATTATACATTTAAAGTGATAAAGTGTAAGGTAACATTAAAGTGTAAGGTGATAAAGTCTTTCCGGAGGGAAGGAAAAAGATGATAATTTCTAAATGAGATAAAAACTAGAAAGATGGAATACTTGGGACACATTGTGAGAGGTGAAAAGTACGAACTTTTAAGAAACATCATGCAGGGCAAAATTAAGGGCAAAAGAAGTGTGGGAAGAAGAAAAATATCGTGGCTTCGTAATCTACGTGAATGGTTCGGGTGTAGTTCGATTGAACTTTTTAGGCGCGCTGCTAACAAAGTCGCAGTGGCCATGATGATTTCCAATCTCCGCTAGGAGTGGCACGAGAAGAAGAAGAAGAAGGAGGGAAGGAAAGGAAAAATCTAACTTACAGTTAATAGATCTGAAACAGTAGAAACACTATTATGAGGTCTTACTGACAGAGGATAGATGTAAATTCCAAGAGATCGAAATGAAAGAAATATCCGAACACACACAAATAATTGACATAACAACCGGAGAGTTAAACGATGCCCTCAAAAGATCAAAAAACGGTAAAGCTGCAGGACCTGGAGACATCCCAATTGAGTTGGTAAAGTATGGACTAAAAATATTACATGAGATGTTGGTTCAACTATTTTACAAATGCTTAAAAGGCCAAAATATCCCTAATGATTGGAATATTGGATAATTCAGCTCAATATTCAAGAAAGGTGATAAACGCAAATGCTTTAATTATAGGGGAATAACTGTTTTCAGCTTAGTGGGGAGGTTGTACGGTCGAATAATAAAAAAAGAATAGAATCAAAATACGAAGATTCAAAAGAACAAAATGGATTTTGTGCAGGAAGATCGTGCACTGATAGTATATTCGTTCTGCAGCAGGTAATCGAAAAACATTGACGAAAGTAGGTCTCAGTAGAGAATATACGGATGCTATCGCAAATATATACAAAAATGCAAGAAGTGTCGTTAAAGAAGAAAACTTTATATCTGAATCATTTCCAATAACAAAGGGGCTTAAAAAGAATGTTGTCTATCTCCGACCTTATTTAAAATATACAACAACTTTATTTTTCGCAGATGATCAGGCAATCGTAGCGAATGATGAGGAAGACATGGACTATGTGTTTAAAAACTAAAGAAAGGATATGAAAAATGGAGCCTTAATATGAATATGTCAAAGACAGAGTATTTTAAAATAGATGATGAAGAAGATCCAGAGCTAGAAATTAGAAACACAAAAACATGCAAGGAATATAAATATCTCGGATCTATAATATCTAAAGAAAGCACTACCAAAAGTGACATCGAAAACAGAACGCAGCAGGGAAAAAAAGCGGTTAATATTCTAAACTCTCTACTATGGTCTAACGATATTAAACAAAAAACGAAATTGACAATCTGTCGAACCTCCGTAGAGCCTATTATGACTTATGGAGCACAAGTTTGGCAGATCACGAAAAAAGATCAGAGAAAAAGAAAAAGAATAGAAGTAGTAGAAATGGATTTTCTAAGGAAAGCGTGGGGTGAATCCAGAAAAGAACATATCAGGAATGAAGATATTAAAAGGAGGACAAATACTGTATATTCTAGTGTAGACATAATTGCAACGAGGCAACTAGTGTGGTATGGTCACGTGAAGCGAATGAATGATGGCCAAAGAAAGCTTTAAATGACATACCACAACAAAGAAAAAGACCAAGAGGAAGGCCTTCAGTTACCTGGGAAGAAAATGTACGACACATAATGAGAGATAGAGCCATCAAAGAAGACGAATGGATGGACAGAAAACGATGGCGGTCGAATTGCGAGAGGCGGCAGAGACTGTAGGAACCTCGCTTATATATATATATATATATATATATATATATATATATATATATATATATATATATATATATTATACATTTAATTTTGAGCAAAGGAGTGTGGCTGGGTGGAACTCTTCGTGCAGCTACCTTCTCGTGGTGAGTTCTGGGTTGAATGAATATACGAAATGATGTTAAATATTTGCATAATATTTCAATGCAAAGAAACTTTCGTGCCAAATATTGATTCAAGCGAAGAGCTGCACTATTCACAGCACATAAAAATTGTAAATATGAATTTTTTACCCCTATTTTATATTTTTATTCCCGGGACCGGTTAAATTGGGGACCAACGATATGACTATTTATTCCGGGTATATTTAAGGAAGTAAAAAACTTTGTTGTAACAAAGTAAGTTCCTTTTAGCTCATTAACAGTATCAACACCTCCCTTTGTTGCATTGTAAAATGTAGTCATTGTTGGCTTGTATATATCGCCACTTTCTGGACCAATCTCGTCTTTATAATGCATGGTTGACAATAATGTAACAATTTTGTTTCGCTTGGGCTTGTAGGGATACCAAAGTCATGTCTTCGATGAAACAAAAACTGCTCGAAGTTACATTACGCTCCTTCAACTTTGCGGTAAAAATCTCAGGAATTTCTTTTTTATTTTTGTAACTTGTGCCCATAACAGTTAGTTTGTGTTTTTTAAGTAAATCTAAGGCTAAATGTATCGACGCGCGACGTAAACCAATTATCGAAAATTACTTTTATTCCAGTTCCAGAAATTTGTTTAATTAATCTGTGTACGACTGAAGAGGCGCTATTGTCAACATTATAGAGACCATCTAGTTGCGTACCAACATACACCCCTAAAATATACATTTAATATGACGTGGAATCAACAAGTGCTAATATTTTGATTCCATCTCAATTCCAGTAACAATTAAGTTCTAAGTTAAGTTGTTACATTACCAGTATCCTATCAGAGATTGGTATGAAGTTGGCGAGACTTAGCTAATATAATTTGCTGTAGATAATTTATTTTGATGATTGCGTAAATTGCATTTGCGTTTATCGGAAACTGGATATTTTTTATCACATTTATAGCAGACTAATAAGAAGCCATATTTTCCCATATAAAAACACCGTATCTTATTAATATATTAGTTTAGTAAGCTACTCACAATGTTTTCAAGGTCAAGCAAATCTTGTTTCTGTTTTTCAAGACAGAAACATCCGCGAGATCATAAATATCGATAAATAAATCACATCGATACAAATATTTAGTGTTAAACTTGCTTCTGTTTGTAAGAGTACCCGAGACAGAAATATTTGCGAAATAATGTATATCTCGACATATAATTCACATCCATACAAATACTTTGTTTTTCTTGTAACAATTTGTGCTAGTATTTGCGTGTTGCCAAACATATCTGCGTCATGCAATGACACCAGTTGTAGTGGAAATGGAGTTTGTAAGATGAAATTTGTGTCTGTGATGATGGCTGGAGAGGTTCTCAATGTCAGCATTGTGTAGGAAACGTTAGGTAAGTATCAAATATGCTTTAACTTAATTTAAATTGTTAATTGGTTTGTATATTGACAAAATTTTATATTGCGGCTTTCGTTTTCTGTGATTATATAGACCTATTAGTTTACGTTTATAATATCTAACATTTGTATCTTACATTTTTGTGTGCTTTTCTTTTACGTTTTTAATTTTGTTGCTTTTTCTATTCCTTTTACTTTATTTAAAGCATCACTATTAGTATTAAAAGGAGGTGAGTTAAAGATTAGTTTCCTGAGTTGTTTTGTTTTATTCAGATTGCCGTGTCACAGCGACAAGGTCATCGACACAATAATAGTATAGTGTAATATAAATTACAAATATACTTGTAAAAAATATGACATAATCATCAGTATATAGATTTATACAAATTTGACTGTTTTACATCATTAAACTTCTGAGTCTATAAAGCACTTCATTGTTTCTTAAATATTTAAAAAGACTTGCCTATTTCTCATTTGCATTCAACAATTCTTGTATTCACTTTCAACCATTCTGCTAACTGGTGTTATTTTATTTTAGTAGAAAGATGTTGATATTCCTGAAGAAAATGCTTGACGGTTAAGGGGCTGCTGCAATGGCCTTATGCAGGTGAATTGGTAGTCGCCATTTTAAAAGCCATGTGCCAGCCAAGTGTGTCCAATTCTTAATCCTCTTAGAATAATTTTGTGTCTTCTGGGCATAGATAGTAGCTCTAAGAAAGGTTATAACTGGTTGTATGGCATGTCAGTGTAAGTCATTTTGCAACTAGGTATTTGATATAAATATATCCAAAGTAGAAGCTTCTTTTGTAGCTACAACTGTCGCTACATTTCCTATAAGTCCTACATGTGAAGTGAAAAGAAAATAGTGACAATTACTGCATGGTTCGTAAGTTTATAATGTACTTCATCATTCTCTTTCTTTATTTTTATGCGGGATCGGCTTCCCTAATTATATTTATTTATAAATTTCTACTTTAATCATATCTATATTAATCCCCTTTACCAACATACCCTACCTAAGCGCTATCTCCAGGTCTTTTTCAGTCTTCTGCTCCTTCTCCTTCCAGGAACCCGCAAATTAGTAATTCTTCATATTTGGGATTAATGTCTTAATGTTAAATAGGACCAAACCATCTTGACCTTTGCTCTCTGATCTTGGCAACTATTGGTGCTACTCCTAGACTTTCCCTAATATACTTATTCCTAATTTTATCCTTTTTTCTTACTCTACTTATCCATCTAAGTATTCTTATTTTTACCACATGCATTCGTTTTTCCTTTTTTTTTTTAAGTGAACATTTCTTACATTCAGTTCTGTATATGATAGCTGATTTATAGCATTTTCCATTCCTTAGAAGCGAGTTGATGCACACATACACCACTCGCTTTCTGCCACTTTATGCACCCAACTCTAATTCGACTGCACCGACCTCCATCTATTTCAACATTACTGTGTAACACCGATCCTAGGTACATAAACTATTACTTTTCACAATAATTTCATCATTCAACGATATTATTCTATTTGTACTTTCAAGATGAGTATCTTTTAATGGATATTCCAAATATTTTGTTTTGTCGTACTCTTCCAGTTTTTGTTATTTCACTATTTTCTACTAAGACTGCATCATTAGCATAAATTAAGTACCATAGAATTTTACCCTCTAGTTTCACTGTTTGTGATCCAGAACTATGATAATGGATAAGACGTTGTGTTTGAAGTACCGTAGTCGACTATTTATTGAAAGTTCAGTATTCACGTTTATTAAAAGAGCAAAGGGGGTATTGACATTCGAAAGTAGCTTGTGCTATGATGAATGTGTGAAGATATGAAGACTGGATAAGATTATTTGGTTGAATAAGTAGTTGGTAGGCTGAGTTTTATAATTTAGCTGATAATCTAGCTGAATTTGATTAAAGAAGATATCTGAAGCAAAGGCAGAGCCTAAAAATTGAAATATGGAGGAAGTCAAGAGCTTTCCAAACAATACCTGTTCATGAGTTTCCCATTGGAAATGTACGACTATTTAAAATATAAATATTTTTTAAGCAGTTGTTTTCGATTCCTGGATATGTGTATTGCAAATAAGTCTGTAAAAGTCAGTTCTAAGACCTAATGCTAATTTGATATAATACCATCTATTAATACTCTGTTGTATGTCAAAGTTGGATTAACTTAAGTCATTTTTTGAATAAATTTTATAGTTTTAGTTTTTTTATTTAAAAAGGAAACCTTGGTATGCCTCCACTACCGTTCTGTATTATTTGTCAACGGCTGTTTGCATTAGTCGACAAGTTATATCGAAATTTTTTACTCTGCTAAAAAATACAAGGCTATCAAACTATAATACAAATTTAACAAAAGATTATTGCTTTTGCCTATATCATTAAATGCCAGATTAAAGAAAATTGTGTTTATAACAGAACCCGGAAGACACCATTATGTTGAATACGAGTAAATGATGACTTTTCATTTAAGGAATCCTTTAAGCAATATCATCTGCATAAAGTCGTATACATTTTTACCAAGTCGACACTGTTGAAGCTTTGAAAGTATAACAGATTTTTCAATGTAATTTCTTGAAATCTTGGCGCTTTATCTCTAGTACTCCATTCCAAGGCATATCATATCCATCCATATCTAGACTTTTTTGCTTTATTGTGAGCCTATTCTATTAGTTCAGAGTGCAAATCAAGCGATGCCAGGACCTCAGAATGTGAATTTTATCACATATGTTCCAAATGTCAAGATGACCCATTATGCGGTTGGTGCGATGACGGATCCGGAACAGGAACTGGAATTTGTCTCCCTGGAAAGTACGAAGGTGAGTGGAATTATCTCATAATTTTTATCCCAGATTCTACCTATGTTTATACTTTATACTGTTTATACTGTCCTATTTTACTCATATCTAACCAAATAATCAAGATAATCTAAATATTGAAAACTATAAAGTTGCCTTGAAAGTAAATTAAGTTCTTAAAATTTTTTGATAAACATTCTTGAGTATAAAAGAATATAATAGAGTGAAATAAAATAGATTAGAATGAAATGGGATTAATGAAATGAAACAAAATAGAATGAAACGGAATGGAATTTAATTAAATGAAATAGAATGGAATGAAACCAAAAGGAATCGAATGAAACCAATATTATAGAATGGAATATGAATGGAATATGAATGGAATAGAATGGAAATGAGAATGAAAATAGAATGGAATATGAATGGAAATAGAATGGAATAAAATGGAATAGAATGGAATAGAATGGAATAGAATGGAATATAATGGAATAGAATGGAATAGAATGGAATAGAATGGAATAGAATGGAATAGAATGGAATAGAATGGAATAGAATGGAATAGAATGGAATAGAATGGAATAGAATGGAATAGAATGGAATAGAATGGAATAGAATGGAATAGAATGGAATAGAATGGAATAGAATGGAATAGAATGGAATAGAATGAAATAGAATGGAATAGAATGGAATAGAATGGAATAGAATGGAATAGAATGGAATAGAATGGAATAGAATGGAATAGAATGGAATAGAATGGAATAGAATGGAATAGAATGGAATAGAATGGAATAGAATGGAATAGAATGGAATAAGAATGGAATAGAATGGAATAGAATGGAATAGAATGGAATAGAATGGAATAGAATGGAATAGAATGGAATAGAATGGAATAGAATGGAATAGAATGGAATAGAATGGAATAGAATGGAATAGAATGGAATAGAAATGGAATAGGAATGAATGAAATAGAATGGAATAGAATAGAATGGAATGGAATGAAATGGAAATAAAACAAACATAACGAAATGGAACGTTACAGAAGAAACGAAATAAAAACAACGGAAGAAACGGAACGGAAAAGAATAAAAATAACGAATCGAATGACTATAATAGAACAGAATAGAAACAAAATTAAATCTAGGTTTTCGTAATTGTATTATGTTTTCAGAGATTAGATAATGCGGACAACGCTAAATTCGTATTACTAATACTAATTGTTAAAAATAACACGGTTAATAAAACTGCTTATGATTTGATTAAATTTAATTCTATTTTAGGACCATTCACAAACACCACGTCCATGACTTGTCCAGTAAAACATTGGTACTTCAGAAGCTGTCCTCAGTGTCAGTGCAACGGCCATGGTAGTTGTGATAATAATTCCAGTACCTGCATTAAATGCAATAGCAGGACCACTGGAAGCAACTGTCAGCAATGTATTAAAGGTTATTGGGGAAGTACTTTAAATGGAGGCCAATGTAAAAAGTGCCAATGTACTCTTGATGCTAACGATTGTAATAAGGAGAGTGGAGCATGCAATTGTTTGACAAAGGGGACGATTGGAAATAATTGCGATCAGTGTGACAGATTCAATCATTTTTATCCAGATTCATATAAGAATAACGCTTGCTATTGTAAGTATTGCTTGAGTATTCTTCTTAAAGTCCTGTAGTTATTAGGATATTAAAAAATATATTTGTTTTTTTATTTTGTGTAAATATGATTCAAACACCCCTATCGATGTAAAAATATTACACTGTTAAATTTCTTTTAAATAATTCACTGTATAAATAATATGTGATTACATAAATAGGATTATATAAATATATAATAATAATAAACATATAATATATATATATATATATTATATATATACATATATATATATATATATATATATATATAATATATATATATATAAATATATATATATATATATATATATATATTATATATATACATATTTATATATATTATATATATATATTATTTATATATATATATATAATATATATATATATAATTATAAATATATATATATATAATATATAAATATATATATATATATATATATATATATTATATATATATATAACAACTTCAACATTTCGATTTAATGCCCAAGAAGTTTTGTAGCAAAAAATGATTGTCAGAATTACATAAAATAGCTAAAAATACTAGGTAGCCTTTTCCTAAAATATTCATTTACATAAAAGAACATTGAGTGCATTGTTTTTCCCGTAAATATTTCAATTATACTAATAATCCAAGTGTGCCTCAAACGTGCCGACAAAAATGTGAAAATTTATTAACAAATATATTTCATAAAAACCCTTTAAAGGGCTACATTAAAAAACACAAACGTTTTCGGAATGACAATTCCATCATCAGGTTTAAAAAACTCCTAAAATAAGTATAAACCATTTAGTTAAAGAAAACGTGGTTAAAATTTTGACTGAATGTTTTTTAAACCTGATGATGGAATTGATATTCCGAAAACGTTTGTGTTTTTTAATGTAGCCCTTTTAAGGGTTTTTAAATATACCAAGTTGCAAAGATTAACCTCTTTTTTGTGATACGTGGTATACAGCCAGCTGCAGGAATTTTTTCCTTGTGGATTTTATATTTCATTATTTTTAATTATTTTTTTTTATTTTAGATGAACTTTTTACAGATTATAGATTTACATTTAACATATCAAAACCAACCGATAAATATTTCACAAGATGTTACGTTCCAAATGTTGCATTAGGCTCCATCTCTAGTTTTGCAAAGATATGTAATATTGGTTGCTTACAGTCAAGGTAGAGAAATGAAATTTTATTAATTTTATTTTGGGGGAAAATGATTTTTTTTAAGTGCTAAGAAACTAAGGAAAAAATTCTTTTTTTATGAAGGAATTAATTTATATGAGGTTTCTAGTGATATTTTGTAAGATTTGGTGTTCCAAAATTTAGGATTTTGAATCTCGGCTCTAGTCGGCAAATCTTCGTGTGACGAGCGCTGGATAACGGCTTTTAGGTTTGAAGAGTCATTCTTTAGGTGAATTGGCGTGGAATAAGTCGCTGTATTAGAGTATTTACCGGCAACTGTATTTTGCTGTTTCCTGAGGGATTTCATTCTAATACAACGTAGCGGATGTTCCCCTAGCTTTGTGTCCTTAGTGGAAAAGTTTGTTTTGGTGTTGGAATATTCGCAGATTCGCCAAAGGGCGGTTTTACCAGCCACGTTTCATCTTTGGAATCAGTTACAATAAGGTATGTAGTTTTTGTGACATCTGTTATTTGGTGGCCAGTCCCTGGTGTCGAAAAAAAAAATGAAATTCTTTTTTTTCCTCTCTCGTTACAGACCGAAGATCGAGCCTTAATCACGATCCAGATAGCCAAGTAGTTTACGGCTAGTCTTTAACCCTTGGTCTGGCTAACAAGGGTGAGTAAAACCATAAGATAAGTAAGATGAGCAATAATAATATATCTATTTTATTCAAATTAATTTTGGTACAAATACATAATGAGTTATTTAAGTAGTTATTTTAGTCCCATCTCTAATACAAGATTTCAAATTCAGCAAGTTGTATCAACAAGACTTTTTTTGGTCATCAGATAAAGTCCAAATGAATTAATTTAAATATTGAATAGATAAAATTTTATTTAGCTCAAAACAGCTGTTTAACATAAAAATATAAATAATGGATTAGATCCAGAAACTAAAATACATTTTCCTAACTGTTAGATTAGTTTTTATTTATTGCTTTTAAATAATATTACCCCTATAATGGTCGTAGTTCCGTATGGTAATTATGGCTTTCTTTCCTTCAGGTTCAGGTTCCGGTTTCGTTTCGTTATCGTTTTGTTTTTGGGTTTTGGTTTTCCCATTGCCTGATTTTAACCGTTTGGTGGTTGATTTTCGTCTTCCTGGCTGGACGTAGCCCATCATGTGCTCCTGATTCGACCTGGGAGGTGTTTCGACCTTCGTACTGTTCTCTGCGACGACTTCGCCGTTACAGCTTTTAATGGGACTTCCCCCCGCTGCGTCTCAGTGGACTTAGAAATTGTGAATCTCGAAGACACCCCGATTGAGGAAGTCACACAAGTAACGACGTATTTTATGTGATAAATTCGAGGTATTTATCGAGCTTTAGTTTTTCAAGCGAAGTTTTATGCGCTATTTTGTTAAATTTTCTTATTCAGATAACATTGTTAAGAAAATAAAGAAATTGCGGTCTCAGGTATTTTATATATTTACACATTTTCCGGGTATGTAAACTGCGCCTAAGGGTAGATAATTTTTTTATTTAGATTTACATTTTATGTCATGATCTGCACACACACCTGAGCTCACGTGGTGTCGTATTTGAGTTAATACATTTTTTTTTACTGGTTTTAATTCACACACCAGTCCCCTTAGCGTTTGGTAATTTTTATTAAACATCTTAACCTGTAATATATATTTATCTAGTGTTACTTGTTGATATCATATTTAAGCCAGTAATACCCGCATTACTACAATATTATTTTCTTTTAAGCCTATGGTAGAGGGAAATAACAGTGTATTGTGTTTCATTATATTTAATCATTAAATTTGACCAAATCTTGATCTCAGACAATTTGTATTTTTATTTATCTCACATGTATTTAGGTTGGTGTATCCTATACTGGTAATTTTGGCGATAAACCTATTGGTAAGTTGGTGGTTTATCATAAGCAACGTAGGGAAGGCTGTGGGCCAATTTACCTGGCGCCCCTTTGATAACTTTTGTATACTTCAATGGACTGCACGACCAGTCTCCACTGTTTGTCTAGCCGCGAGCCATTCTCATACTGTCACCGTATAGTTTTTTTTGTCGGTGTACGTCTAACCTATATGTGGTGAACTAGTATTGAGTTAGTTTTTATAAATTGCGTCTGGTTCGCCATATAATTTGGCGCCCAACGTGGGGCCAGATTTTTTTTTGCCTGGTTTTTTTAATTGTTCTGAGATTAAGTTGTCATTCTGGCAGATTCGGTAAACTTTAATTTATTTACTTTACCACTGGCTTTGTGCTTAATAGTAATCTTTGAACTTCGTGTTTAGTGGTAGTGTATGCAGAGAAGTGCTTACTATTTTCTTGTGTGACGTGAAGTTGAAAGAAGTCGAAGACGGAACTTGGCAAATTTTGAAGAGATTGTGGAACTTTGAAGAATTTTTAGAAGTTGGTTGTTGGACTTTGAAAATTTTTATTGAAGAATTTTGGGACTTAGAAATATTTTGAGATTTTTTTTTTGGAACTTAGAAGAATTTTTGGATGTTTGGACTTTGAAATATTTCTATTTCGGTTGGACTTCAATTTTTTTTTTCAAAGCATTTGGACTTCGAAGTTCTACATTGTGTTTGCAACTTAATTGTGTTTGCAACTTAATTGTGTTTGTGAATATAATTTTTTTTGGGATTGTATTGGAACTTGTACCTTGTTCTGGAACTTTTGAATAGCTATTTTAATCGGCTGCGTTGTCATGTTCCAGAGGGGTCAAGCTGTCCATAATTATTAGGAATTTGCATCCGTTCTACCAGGATAGATTACGTGATCCTTTGCCATCTACCTTGGAGGAACTTCGGGTCTTATGTCGTAGTATGGAGGAGAGGCGCGATTGCATTAGGAATTATGTTGAACCGAATAGCAGAAAGTAAATACTCTGGAAAAGGACCTAGCTTATGTCAGAGTGGATGCTGAAAGGTGCAGCAGTGTTGGTGAGGTTCCTGTTGTTTCATCTGAATCGGAGTCATCTAGTGGAAGGTCTAGGACGTTGGTATGTTACCGATGTAAGCAGCCAGGTCATAAGGCAATAGGGTGTCTCGTTAGGAAGGCTGCTGTTCACTGTTATAAGTGTAATAAAGAGGGTTTTACCGTCAGAACTTGTCCTTCATGTAATTCGGGAAACGGAAGGAAGCGCACTTAACTGGTCGAAGAGGTGTTGCTGACGTTGCGTCGACCAACCTACGTCCTATTTTAGACTTTATTTTACATCATTCTGAAGGAGATGAACGTCCATATTTGAGAGTTAGGGTCTTAGGACAAGAAATTTTGGGATTATTGGATTCTGGTGCTTCAAAAACCATTGTAGGAAGAACTGGTTGGGAATTTTTACAAAAATTGGGTCTCGAGTTGGACACTTCGAAGAAAACCGTTTGTAGAGTGGCGAATGGTCAGATGTGCGAAGCGCTAGGCGAATGTTTAGTACCTTTCATGGTTAGAGATCGCTTGCGTGTTTTGCCAGTATTAGTTATTTTGGACGTACCGCATACTCTGATTTTAGGGACTGATTTCTGGCGAGTTATGGGTATTGTTCCAGATTTGAGGCACAACGAATGGTATTTTTCGGAGGCTCCAGCGACGGTAGGTGCAGTGGATCATCTTAGAGGTCAAACTATTTTGACGGATACAGAGAAGTCGCGATTGGATGAAGTCATTGATAGAAATCGTGGACGAATGGGAACTTCTCTTGGTTGCACTGATGTCACTGAGCATACGATTGTTTGTAAATCCGCACCCATAAAACAACGCTATTACCCTGTGTCCCCAGTAATCCAAAGTCATATTGATAAGGAACTAGAAGATATGTTGGCGAAAGGAGTAGTGGAACGATCGAATAGTGCT